GAAGCTGTTTTTACTAGTAAAAAATGAAACTTTCCTAGCAATCCAAGTCCTAAAAATCTATACGGATCCCGTTACAAAACAGAAATGAAGAATCAGAATTATGGTGAATTCTTCTAATAGATAGCAAAAGCAAACAAGATAGGACCAAACAAAGAAAAAGCACGAGTTACGCAAGATCTCTACCAAAAAAGGCAGCCAAACCAAACCCACAATAGAGCCCACATAATCTCTCACAAGCAAAGACAAAATAGCATAACAAACTCGTTACAATAAGAGAGAGAAACAGAAAGAGAAGAAACTAAAACTACCTAGTTGAGGGTTTCAATTTACAGAAGCAAATCTGACACGAGAGAGATCAAAGTGAAGGAATCCAAAGGGCAAAAATTCAGAATTCCCACTTTCTTCATTCCGCTTTTGTTTGGTAAAAGGGAAAGTTTCTTTTTCTTTTTCTTTTTCTTTTTTTCTTTATTAAAATTTCTTCCTCTCACTTTCCTTCTGTTGGAAACCGGAAAGATTTCAGCCACAGTTTGGTGCAAGTACAAAAACCGAAAATTAAAAATAAAAAAAATGATAAAAATTGACTGTGTAGGTGCGCCGTTAACGATTGGAAGTGAGAAAACGACATGTCGTTTTGTTTGGAGTAAAAGTGAGAAAATAAGTGTGATAAATGCTGTGTTGCTGTTAGGTTCAATTATTAATTAACTTGTCATAATGGGGTCCTTTGAATTTAAGTTAATTTAATTATGGTTAATAAGAACGAGTGGAGACAGTCTTGCATGTATAACACTCTTATCACAATATGATTGGGCCCACTTGATTTTAATAAATAAAAATGTTTGATTTTTTTATCACACTTTTACTCAAAATTAGAGCCAGTGACTCAGTGGTGGTGGTCAAAAAGTTCTGACATTCCTGTGTTTTCACTTAGAATTTTGGATTTGGATTGTGTTACTAACGTTAACATTTGTGGGCTTGTAAAATTCCAATCCATAAATAAATAACATAAAACAAAATATGTTAAACAATTTTTCGAGGATTACTAAGAAATTTTTTATCAATACTGTTAGGTTTATAACTTTTTACGCCGTAACTTTTCTTTGATTAACTCATAGATAGATAAATAAAACTTATTTTATAAGCTCATTTATGATAAATTATCACGTCAAAAATTATGAAAAAAAATTATAAATATAACATTAATATTTTTTTATATATAATAAAAGTTTTTTAGGGGTATACATCATGTTATGCATATAAAAAAAAAAAAATTAAAAAATTAAATTGAGAGGGATAATTACGAAAACCATAATTGTTTAATTATCAACGATTGACAAGATTAACGGGAGTAAGGTTTGAAGGGTTTTAATGAATGATGATCAAGGATGAAAATTGTGGTGGTGCGAGATCGCAATGATACCGAAATTAGAAACAAAATATAAATTTGAGTAATAAAGTAGTATTTTAAAAGTCTGTAAGTAAAAAAGTATTATTAAACTCATTATGTGGGTGAAAAAAAATTATTTTCTCTATTGTTATTAGATCAAACCTAGTATTAGTTTGCGTACATCTCAATTAATCTTTTAGGTTTATTGAATACTCTATAAGTTTAAAAAATTAGATAAATCATAATATTATTATAGTAAGTAACTCTAAAATTTGAATCAAAAAATTTAAGAAGAAGGAAATTTTTAACGTTAGATAAATCCCTTATTAAAGAAAAAAAAAAAAAAGTTCAGAGTTGGTGTTGGTGCCACTGATTTGATGTAAAATCATGGCGATGAGGTGGCAGGGTATGAGATTAAAAAATAAAAAAGGAGGATAAAACGTAAAGGTGTGAGCATCTACATGTAAAAAAGTTTCCAAATGAAATGATATGATATGGGTTTGAGAAAATAATAATAATCAACACAACAGCACATGCTCCTCAATCACAGAGTCATACAACATCAAATGCCGATGTTTTCGCCTTTAAATTCTCGGGAAAATCTAACTCTCAAATGACTTAAATGCCCCTCTATTGAATTGTGAGTTTTTGCCAAATCCTATGCCTTTGTTGTGGGAGCCAGAGAGTGGGGACTAATACCATGAGCTTCAATTTGGCTTCACTGCTGCTGGGACAGCTTAATTATTATTATTATTATTATTATCTTATTGTTTCTGCTCAATTTGAAAGGAGCATTAAATCTTTATTTAAAATCATAAAGTAGGTAAATCTCGAATTTTGATTCTTACATGTATAAGAAGATTTGACTATATTAATATAACATTATTTGTAACAAAAATAATATACTAAAGACTTAATAATTATTTATTTTCTCTTATTCAAATGATAAACCCTTTAACCATTAAAAATTAATCGTTATCCAAAAATATTGTATTTGAAAGAAGAGGTAATTACTAGGTTTACCTAATTATTTATTTATTTTTAAAAAAAAACTGAATTTCATTTAAAAAATTTTAGGTATAGATGTTTTGAAAATTTTAATGTATGAATCAAATATGAATACTCAAATCTTTTATTTTTGATTTTAGAGTTTATGAAATTAATAAAAATTGATTATTTGAGAAATACTATTCTATTTTTTTAATTACTTTTAAACCCCTTAAGTTTATTAATTAATTAAAAACCCCCTAAAAAAATATTTAAAAATTAACAAAAACACCCCCACTCACCCATAGTTGCTAGATTCCGACAACCACTGTCGGTAATTGTCGGAATCTGTCACAACGGCATACAAACGATCGGAAATGGTCAGTAATTCACCGATCTGATTTTTTTCGATCAGATCCACATTAGATCTGGTCGAAAAAGGCCAGATCTTGCCGCCAGCAACGACCAAAGAAAGAGTCATTGTTGATCGACAACGACAGCCAAATCTGGCCTTTTATGACTGTTGAAGGACAGATTTGGCCTTTTCCGACCAGATCAGCTATGGATCTAGCCGAAAAAGACCATATCGATGCACGACCGACTAGATTTGACCAGTTTGCATCATAAAGCCATTTTTCGGCTAGATTCTGACGGTGGTGGCCGGAATCTGGCATTGTGGGTGGATAGGGGTTTTTTTGTCATTTTACAAAAAATTTATATATTGGAGTGTTTAGTTAAATTGGCAAACCTAAAGGGTTTTTGGTAAATTTTTAAATTTTACCTCGTAATACTCACCTTATTCAACTAACCAATATTATTCTTAAAATCCTATCCAAAATAACATAACAAACGGAGCCATGACTATTAAGAGGCTGGTCGAGAGTTATTTTGTTTTGTTGTTAACTAATATAAGATTTTGCAAATTTTTCAAAATCAATAATAATTACTATTGGTTATATATGTGATAATCTGAATACCTCTATTTTCTTAATTATTTTAAAATTAGTTGGTAATCTTAATTTTGTTACAGTTTTACCCTTAACTCTTAAATTAAATTTTTTTGGACAGTAATACCTTTATTTTAAAAACAATTTACAAGCCACCCAAAAAGACTGTCGACAGCCAACCACCACTGTCAGCCAAAGTCGTTGGAACAACGCACGATCGACCGGATTCGACCGACGGTGGTCAAAAACGACCGCATGACCATGGAACCAGGTTTTTTTGGCCGAATCTGGACTTTTTCCTCTACGCAATCGTCGATATTAAGCCCAATCTGGGCTGATTCCGGCATCACCATCGGCCCCAACCACCACCACCTTACTTCTCTCATTTCCTCTTCAAATCCCACCAAACCCCATCATCGAAGCTGCCCTCAATCATCAACAAAGCCCATTGCTTTTTCGTGCGATTTCTCTTTTTCTCAATGCTTTTTCGATCGCGTTTTCCACCAAAAATCACCCCCACTTGCACCGATCGACTCCTTTCACCTCCTCTTCAAAACCCCTTAAAGAACATCTTCATTGCACTTCTCGATCAATGACTCGCGGTGGTTTAGACAGCCAACAATGGCTTGAGTGGGTGAGGGTGTTTTTGTCAAAAATCAAACTTTTATGTGACTGAATGTTTTAACAAAATCTCAAATGTAGGAGGTTAAAAAAATAGTTCAAAAATAATAATATATTAATATTTAAAAAAGAGAGTAATTTAGTAATCTATAAACATAACCACCAATTTATTTCTCCCAACCAAACATATCAATATAACATACTCACCAATTTATTTTAACCTACTAAACACATTTCGCTACATTCCCAATAATCTTCAAAGTAATTTATCTTTTCATTAATATAATATTCCCCATTATACAACACTCCTTAAACCAAACACACCCTCAGGTTTAAATCTAAGTCAAAATCAAAACCTTCATAAACTACACCCTTTTTCATTCCTACTTGATTCACCCATAATAGAGTAGTACTAATGGCAAAATTTATTAGAAAAAAAAAAAAACCACAACGTCTAATGATGTAGAGATTAAAGAGAAGAATAATAATAAAAAAAAATTCGGTCAGGTGGTGGGCTATGAAGGGGGTGAAGAATAGGGGACCAGTGGAATCGCGGGCATAATTCAGAAAATATTATTGGTCTCTGTGATGCTTGAGAAATATGCAAATCCTCAAAGCTGTGTAGTGGGTTTGGTTTGGACTGGGGATTCATGTACCTTTCTTAATCAACTAAGGAACATCTATACGCAACCGAGCATCCATAATAGTAGCGTATAGTGGATGATTTGAACAACTGTTCGAGGATATAATGGATTTGGGCCCAGCAGGCCCGCTCCCGGGCTTTATGGTCTTCTGTTGGGGTTTGCAGATTTGGTAACTGAGATGTTTGTTTCAATGCATGCCACAAACGATATTTGCTCTAATTTCGATGTCGTGACACGCGACAAAAGTTATAAATTTGCAGATGTTGGCAAACTTGTCAAGGTTTAACAGATATCAGGATTGCATTAGACAACGTAAGCACATTAGATTACATGTAAACACAATGGCAAAATCAATGGGTTCTAATTTCACATAAAAGGGTATGTGCTAGAGGTGATTTTGCACTGTCTAAAACCCGCAGGTTTGGATGCTTAAGTTTAGTTAAAAATAAGCTATTAACTCCGGTGACAACTGACAACAATCCTCTTTTTTAAGCCTTTGGAATTATGATCATTTATTTCATGCACATCAAAACGGAAATGGCATGCAGAAACTGTGATCTTCTTTCTCATCCAATTCAAAATGTACTTGAAGCAACCGAGGAAGGCTACATAATGCATCTACGTACTTACCATATGGTTAACTAGGATAAATATGCCCAGGCTCCAAACAACTCTCTGCCAGCAACGATGTCACAGTAGATCCGTCCGCTCTATACTCAACATTCCTGAACATCTGCAAACAATAAGAAATCATCCATTCCGATTACAAAGTCACATCGCAATCACAAAAATGTAATATAAAGAGGTGATAAATTGTCTGTCATGGCAAATTGGCAAACTTGATACATCCAAAGAATTTCAAAAGCTGACAAAATGATCACCTTGGTGCTAACAAACTTCTCAGTTCCAGAAACATTTCGCAGGCACAGAATTACATCAAGGAATAGGTAATTTAATCATCATCATCATTTTGCATTTCCACATTTCTACAAACTATCACATTGATTTTCGCCATATGTTTAACAGCTCTTAAGTTGGTCCCGAATATTTTAGTTCATGACCAACCAGGAAGACTAGTCAAAGAGAAGCCACATCTAAAGCATACCTAAGGGGAAGTTAAGACCAGCTTCAGTGTCTACCAGTTATCATTGCACATCTGATAATAAAATTAACTCCCACAACAGAATTTAGTTAAATTTAAGGGAGTTTGATCCAAAGTGTAAACATAAAAATTTCAAACTTTGCGAGATATGGTTCACACTAGAAGGGAACCTGCCAGTTCCTGATACAAGTACTAATGAGCTTTACCAGATGAAAAAAGCGCATGTATACAAAAGTCAAATATGAAAGAATACACAAAAACATAATATTCAATATTCATTCAACAGATGCCACTCTTCTCTTATCTTCTCCTTTTTGGTGACACCAGGAAACTTCTCTTTAAGGGAGCAAATATAGTTTCTTACTCATCTATCATTTGTATCAAGATCTAATTTAATCTCCTATTTCTCTACTCATTTCTGTTTCCTAGTCCAAAAGAGAGAGAGAGAGGGAGAGAAGAAAAATATTGAGAAAAAAAAAAAAACAGTAGCAAAAAAGAGGTAACCATCAGCACATTATGAATATCTAAGATGGGTTGCAGCAGGTGGCAGGTTTTTAATTTCAGTAGTCAGCATTTGAGAGCAGATTTTTACCTCTACACAGGTGAGGTAGGAGTTATGAGTATATTATAATAATTGACCTGCATAATTTTGTATTTAACTAATCTAATAGTTGCAGAGAGATAAAAGTTTTTGTCACCTTTGTCATTGAAATTAGCAGAGTGATTGGAAACAAACGAAAAATTTTCAACCAAGCCGCAACCAATGGGCATGTTAGGTGGTCTGGATTTGGGAGTAGAGCAGCCACCACTTTGGTTCAGCTGCTCATTTGAGATCTCATCTCCAATCAAATGGTTGAAATAGACATCCAAACCAGCAGATGAAGGCATTGGTACTTTTCTCTTGTTCTTGAACCTTCACCTAACAAGGGTATGAGAAACATATAGGAAAGCAAAATAGCTGTTTTTAAAGCTATAAGATTGTCAGAAACAGCTTATAATTAAGTGAAGATACCTGTCTTTCCGCTTTTCACGGTATCTTTGCACTGATGCTTTTCTGCTGGTTGGGCCATCTGGAAGTAACTCAAGATGGAATAAATTAATAAGGTGAGACAGAAGTTCCAAAATGCAGAAACAAAACGTAAATATTTTAAGGCTAATAGTTCAAAAGTTGAATAAGAAAGCGTCTACCGAAATAGATAAACCGTTAATGTAAAAAAGTATTGATCATTCAAAATTTCTGTTATATTTTCCAAGACGATACAACTTAATTATTATTATTATTTTTTTTAAAAAGGGCTTTCTTAATAGAGAGCAAAAAGAATAAAAAGAAATCTTGTGAGACTGTACCAAGAGTTGCTAAAAGTGTTCACAACTGGTCTCCTGAATCAATAAATAAAAGAGCAAAAACAAAAGAACATAGATGATCTAAACAGAGCATGATGACAAAGTGCTGATCAAGTATTGAGTGGACAATGCCACCAATCAAATGAACAAGAAATTAAAGAGATGTCTTATAGAAGTGTTTACCGTGGCTGTCTTCGCAAGAAATGTAACTTTCTTCCCGGGGAAGCTGACAGTTTTCTGCCACTTTCACTGCAAAGAAAACCAAGCATGTTAACACAAGATTATCCTACTACAATAGCCACAACATAAAATATAGCGTTCTCATCTGAGGATCAAAAGCCCCTTACAGTGTATATATATTAAGTAAACAAAGATAATGAAAACCCCAGACCCTGCCACCAAATCTACCTGTTTGTAAAGTTGGGAAGTTCAACACTGGAGAACTTGGGCCAACTTTGATACCTGTAGGCTGCAAGTGGCATGGACCAGACCATAGTGCTGAATTTCCCTCTGATGGTGCTACTGGGAGTGGGCTTGAAGCAAGCTGCATTATTGCTTGTGCCTGAAATTCACTTAATAACATTAGATAGCCAATTCATGATGACACATATTGCATGTTTGACAAGAAAAAGATCAGCTTCATAACCTTATCACCAGGCATGTCATCATAGACATTCACCTTTCCACCGTAAAAGATTGTCATCTGTCCTACCGGCTCACTTGCTGCAATTGTGGTTCTGGGATTTAAAGGAATTTTTAGTTTTGAAACTTCAACAAGTAATCAAAAACCTTTGTAAAACCTGTTTGCTCTTCCTAAGAAGACATTGCAAATGATCATCCAGATCTATACCAAACACTAATGCAGAGATGCAAGGTGATTGAAGTTGCAATAGGAATAAAAAGCAAATTGAATAAGGTAACCACGCACAGAAACTTAAAAATATATAAATAAATTGAAGGAATCATAAAGAATCGGGTTGAACCATATAAGGATCTTAAAAGAAAAAATCTTAATTCCCGTGACCATTAAAAGACACTGTTAACCACATTTAATTCTGGCAAAACTATAAGCTTGCTACAATTAGGAACGCATATTTTCTTTTTAAGTCTTAAACTTGAACATCTAAAATTTAAACAAGAAAGTTACAAGACTTTTCTACTCCTAAACCATTAGCCACACCAGTATCCTGGCATAATAGGATCCAGCAATCATGACGCATTTTGATTCCACTCATCTTGCAAGTTTTTCTATATTTCTTGATGGACCTCTTTTCTAAGGATGGCCATCAAAGAGTAGTAAAAGGTGAAATACAACAAGACTGCATTTCCACTACATATTTACAGCTGCACTGGTTTGATCTAATTTCAAATATCCTTCATATGTCAAACTTTTTTAAAAGATTCAAAGAACCTCCTTTCTCCAACAAGAATGATCGAACAGAACCGTTATCTTCATAAGAAACAAGAACTCATATTTTGCATAGATCTTCGTGAGACACTTTATCTTTACTTATGTCAACTCTGTTTCATGGGCTCTTGATAGGATTCATGAAAGTCCACTCTGGCCTCTTCTATCAAATGGTAATACTGGAATTACAAAATACGACTAATCTGATTCAAACAATTGTGAATAATCATAGCAACCTATATGTAATATGCGTATAGAACACTCAACTATAAGAGTGATTTAAACATGTGAGCACGCTTTAACACACATCCACATTTGTGATAAGCTTAGACTTAATTCGCTGACACAACTTGACCAGCATTCCCACCAAATAAAAGTTGAGAATTGAATCTACGCACCAAAAATAAACAAATCCCCAAACAAACGCAACTGTAACCTCACAAAAATAGAGCCAACTAAAATCCTCCAATTTTAAAGTTACTCATATTACAAAAAAGTAAGTTTAAAATTAAATTCAAGAAAGCACACTATTAAAAGTATTTTTGTGGAGGAAAACCTAGAAGAAACAGAATCCTTGTCCGCAGCCAGTTGGCCGGAAGGATTAACCGGAATATCGGGCTTCGGGGGATCCTGACGCCGGTACGGAACCGGTTCACTCGTTTCCTTAACTGAAACAACAGGATTTGAAGGGACCTACAAAAATATAATTATGTTTTAATTTTAAAAATAAAAAATGATTACAGTAAAGGTCCTCGAATTTAGTTTATTTTATAAAATAAATGAACTAACAACAAATTAGCACCATTATAAAATAACAAAAGTGGTAGTAGAGAAAAAGAGAAGCGCACACTGTAGAGCTTCTTTCGCGCCTCTGTGGCCTCTGAATCCGTCGTCGTTTCAAAGAGCGTTTTGAGAGAGATCACTTGCTGGATCGCCTGCGATTTGTTCCACGACGGCCTCCTCATGCCTGTACACAAACACACACACACAAAAAACACTGAAAAGGTAACTAAAAGCTCACTCAAAGTACTACTGCATCTTCACAAAAATGTGAAGATTTTATGTAAAGATGCAAGTGAACTAACCTTTCTCTTTGAGATATCGGCGGCAATCTTCACGAGTGAGCTGAGAAATGTCTTCTTCAGTGAGTTGGTTGAGAGGCTTGTCAAGAAGTGACCGGGAAACCGTCTCTCCCGGTGACATGTTGTACAATTTCCAGTCACCGATCAATCACCTCCTCCGAATCGCAGAAAGAAGATCGACGCGCTCTTTAGTCTTTACACTTTCTGCTGATTTCTTTTGGTCACCATTTTGGTAAAACTGACGCCTTTTGGAGAATTTCAGGAAGGCAAGAGTGTGACTGCGCGAATTAGTGAAAGCGAGGATATGAGGGATTTTTGTTTGGGAAGATGTGTTCGTTTTTACCAACTTTCTCTTATAATTCTCAAATTCTGAAATATCAGTAATAATTGGTCAGATTTTATCTAAAAAATTATAATTGATTAATTATGAATTACCACATCCGAATTACAGAAAAAAATTTGTAAAAAGGGGACGTGGTGCAGCATTACTCTTGTTTGCGGCGTCTCAGCTTTGATTTTAGGATTTTTTTTATTTTTATTTAAATAAATAAGTTTAAATATGCTGAATGGCAAGTTGCCACCCCAGGTCGCCACGTTATCGCTTCTCTCTTGAATTATTCTCATTAAATAATATCTAATTTGAGAAAAATATTTAATTTTTGTGAGTGGACGCGCGTTGGAGCGTGAAGGGTTGAGAGTGAAAGCAGCGGGTGGATTATGAGGTGAGAGACAAATCGTGGTACGGACGATAAGGATGGGACCTACATTGATGAAATTTTGGATAGCCCTCTGTGGCCACGTGTCCGAAAACCCACGTGTCGCCCATGTATAGTGGACAAATGAGAGGACCACGTTGCGGGTTCTTTTTTGTTTCACTTTTTTCAAGGCTAACTTGAAAAATTGAGATTCGCCTACGACTTATCCTGAGAACCAGGACCACGTTAGAGCACCGTCCAAATTTTGCTCAAACCAAACAGTAATACGCTAAATTTGGAGAGATATTATTCGTCTACGTTACGTCATCTGTATTTCTTATTTTTTAATTTATATTTATATTAATTTAATTATTATTTATATTAATATTAATATAAATTTTGCTCAAGAGTCAAGACCACGTTAGAGCATCGTTCAAATTTTGCTCAAACCAAATAGTATTACGCTAAATTTGGTGTGATATTATTAGTCTATAATGTATATCATGTCATCTTTATTTTTTATTTATATTAATTTAATTATTATAAATTAATTAATATATACAAAATAATTAATATTATTAAGAATTAATTGAAAAAAAGAGAGAGAATATTTTAAACAATAATGTACTATTCCTACAATGCATTGGAAATGCAATAGTAAAAACTCATTATAAATTTTCAAGTGCTTTCAACGTTATATAAAGGACTACTTAAGTTACAGTGATGGATCAATAAAATTTCATTCTTTCTAAATTTTCTCCCAAACACTCTAGATTTTCTTTCTGGTTTTCTATCAAACACTTACATATATAACTTACGTATATAAAATTAGATGCTGACTACACCCAAAACACTATTCTGATCCAAGTATATGAGCCATACCACGGGAAACAGATACTAAATTCAAACATATATAATGATCCGTAAATAAGGGATTAAAATGAAAGAAACAAAGGATACATTAAAGAAAGGACCAGGGCAAAGAGGAAAAGACTAATAATGTCTAATGAGGAATCGATTTGTAGCTACGCTGTGGCACCTTCTTAAAGGTAGCCCACGCAAGATCAAAATACAGTGGAAATTGCGCAACAGCGAAGAAAGTAACGGGCAAACATGTCACTGCATAGACGGGGAGTGCAGCAAATTTCAACTTATCTTTGAGAACAAAAAAATGGCCCGCACAGAAAGATATGAGCATCGAAGCTATGGAAACGAACAACGAAGTTAAGCCAATCAGGAGCTTTCTGGGCAAATCTTCACCAAAATCTTTCTCTTGGTACCTTGACGTTAGTATTGACAAGAACATGATCACTGCATTGACCGAGAAGCAGAGGGCAACGAGTGATGAGATGGCAAACACGTTGAATGCCGGCTGGTTTTCGAGGGTTGGTATTCCGCTATCAGGCTTGACGCCTCCTGGTACGGTGGCTGATGTTGCAAAAGCAACCGTGGCAATGAGTGCAGCCACGACGGAGCATGACTCTGAGGTGTTCATTAGCCATTCGCCCCCAGCTTTGACGAGATCGCTATGCGTTTCGGTGAAGATATCTTTTGGAGTCTTGTTGTCCTTGTTGTAACGAACAAAGAAGTGGAATGGCATAGAGTCTTTAACAAACTGCAAACATTAATTTCATGGGACGATCAAGAATCTGGCTAACTATCACAAAATTGATAAAAAAAAAAAAAATGATTGAAATTTGCTCCAAAAATACTTATATTGGACGGTCTTGCTACCCTACTTTGCTAACGTGATAAAACCGTCTAATAATATAATGATATGTATTACTACATCAACAAAGTGAAGTAGTGAGACTGTCCAGTATATATAAGTTTTTCTCAATTTGGTCATACCTCATACCACTTGAGTTCCCATTGCATTTGTAAAGCGGCCCCTGGAATAAGCCAGGGCTTATGATCTCCTAGTGTTGCAGCGAGGTGCAGTGCACTATTCCCTTTATTGTCAACTTTACGGAAGACGCTCTCTTTCATGGTGCTTATTTTGAGTAAGAGCTGATACACGTGGGGTTGCCTGTTCTCCACAGCTAACAGCACTATATTCTTTCTGTCCGTGTTCATGTCTTGGATTGCCACTGGGTATTTTTCTAGGATTTTCTGCACCATTTCAGTGATTCCATTCTTAGCTGCGATTAATATAGGAGTTTCCTTCTTTGACGTCATCCCTGTATGGATATCCTGCTTCCTGTTATCCACTGACAATAACACTTTTTCATCCGTGTTTGTGGCTAGGATTGCCACTGGGAATTTTTTTAAGAAATTCTGCACTTTTTCAGAAAGATCATTCTTTGCTGGTGGTTCCTCCTTTGATATCATCCCTGCATGGATACCACCACGTATAAGTTAAAAAAAAAAAAAAAAAAAAAAAACAGATTGTATCATTTTCCAATAGTTACCTTCTTCAACCTTTGATTTTCCCTTCTCGTTTTCCTTGTCCTTATTATGGTTAGGGTCTGATGAAAAACTGGAAATTGGAGGTACTGAACCCGGATGATCTGGTGTAGGAGCCTTTGCAAGTAACTCCAAATCAATTGATGAGAATTCAGGTATTGATCCCGGCGAGGGTTGTGTTCCATCGTCTTCATAGTCGAATGAGGCATCTAGGACTAGAAGTTCATTCATAATCTGAACAGACCATATGTGTTTCTCTTTCTTCTCTCGTGTCTTCTTTATCCTTTTCGATCCTAATTTGATACCGTGCATTTATATGAATATAAAGTATAATATATAGAAAGGTACAGAGATCAGAAGGTAGTAGATATCGGCATACCTAATCCGAGGATAACTAGCATTGCTTTGGATACAAGCTTCACGAACTCAAAGCAGTTCTTATAATTGGGAGGAAATAATAGATGACCTTGAGCTCCACCAATGCCTGATGCTTTAGAAACATGGATGATATAAGGATATATATTGAAAAATCTTCAAATGAAACACTGTTTCTAGTAAGAATTCAACACTAATATTTAAGTAAAAAAAAAAAAAATTCTATTTTTATTTAGATTTATGTATAGTATATAGTATATTGTAACTTGTAAATAGTTAATAATTCCCAGCTTTAAGCAGCTGAGTGATATTGAGTGTAAAGAGAAAGATTTCCTTTGTTACTAGAATATAGATAAGCTCATAAATGCATCTTACAAACCCCACGTAGTACTTGAGTTGGTTGCATAATGATTTCAATTAAAATTAAGAAACAATCATTCCTTTATAGGAAACGGCTGTTATGAGTAAAGGAATGGTTGTTTTTTGGATGAGAAACAACCATCTTTGGATGAGGAATGACCATTCCAGTTAGAGGAACGACAATTTTATGATTAAATAGCCTCCCTTCCTACGGAATGGCTATTTCTGAAATGACCATTATATGATGAACGATCGTTTATCTCTAAGGAATGGATGTTTCTTATATGATGAATGATCGTTTATCTCTAAAGAACAACTACTTATGTCTAATCAAAGTTGTGAGTTCGACGTGATAATGTCAACTTAAGTGTCACATTGAATTTGTGAGAGAAAGTTTATGAGATTTATTTTTTAGTGTAATATTACTAAATGAATGAGAAGATTGAATGAAGCATTCAAAGAAGAAACCGTGATAAAGAAAAGCAGAAGCTGACTTGAGTCAACCACTTAAGATATAAACAATCAAAACGGCAGCGTATTAGATAAGGACAGCATCATAATTTCACTCCTCTCCTTCTTTTGACTTTTATCGTCAACAAGTCTAACATGAGCTACAAACCGAAAAGAAAATGAAGTCGAACCGAAAAGTAAAATAGAATACCTTTTGAGTTTCCTTGAGGATCCTCTGTATCTCCAGCTGGTGGCGCTTCTGGTTCTGCCTCTTTTCTTCTTGGGAAAATGGCTGAAAATTAATGAAAATTCTAGTGAGTAGGTCCATATTATAATCAAACAAAACGATCAGTTAGCCTAAATGTGATGATATTCATGAGCTAAAAGATTTGATTGCTGTTATAAATTGTAATTACAAAAAAAAAAAAGGTTTGATCGATTTGATCACTTACCTACTTTTACCATTTCTTTAGGAGACAATGATGCTACAGCAGTTTGGTAGTTTTCCGGGAAGCTGAATTTCTTGTTATCAGCTGATGTGTCGACTCAGTTGGGGCTTGAAATGGCTTCACCGAACCTCCTTAAGCCTTTCAACGAATGTGCCTTTCAAAATAAATAAAATAAAATAATTTTGCGCTGGCGGTGGGTACTGCAATATCTATAATGCATTACCTCGCAACCAAACTGGCATCGAGATTGCAAGGCCTCCCACTTGGGAGGTCTGAATTACAGACGCTCCCTGGCGTTGGGGCATCATGTTCCCGACCATGATGCCCTCAACGTTTTTTCTAGCGCTTATTATTAGAATTGGCTTCCTCGACTGCCGGCCTCCTCGTCAGAGTCGATCTTTCTAGTGGTGATAGTGAACTTACAGTGATATATAATTTGGTTGAACGTCCGAGGGCTACCGCTTCTGAAGGCGGAAGGTTTGGTTGCTAGGATATGAAGAGGGGTCAATCCTTGTTCGTTGACATAGTTTGCCAAGCTTTATACAGATGAAATATTGAAATGCCAATCTACATATCAAAGCAATAATAAAATAAAATCAGGTTGAATAAGTAATATTTGCATGGTAGAATTATTCGTTCATATATTATATTATATATATATTATAGTTCTGTACAACCGAAGTAGTCTCCGAGATGGCAGAGTGAAGAATAGTATGCGCCGTCGTTTTTTCTGCAGTACTCATAGCCTGAGCTATTTGGATTAGAAATAATAATAGAATGGAGTCGAAGGAAGGCTTCTTTGTGACATAGAGAGCGCCAAGAGAAAGGAGTCTCACCGTCATGGTACAGAGCACCAATCACTCTATGATAGTCCTTGTTCGCCCAAGCTATGCATTCGCACATCTTTGCACTCCCCAGCGAAGCTGCAATATGAAGAGGGGTGTTCCCTCTGTCATCTTCAACTGCCAATGCTGGAAATCTTGCTTCAGCCTTGTCTATTTTTGAAGCTGCATTCTTATGATGATCAGCTATTGTTGATTCATCCGTTTTGGTTGGTGTTTAATATAATATCCACAAGCTTTGCAACCTTTTGTTCTTGGACATCAGAAACAGCGATGTGTATGCTGTCTGCCCTGACTTGGTGATCTTCTCCATGTGAAACTTGGATCCCTCTGGTATATGTCAATAACGTCATCCCACTTACTTCCTGGCACATCTGAACAATTCTTTCTTTATCATATCATTTTCGGCATTGGTGAACCCATTACTGCTCTTACAGACTTTAAATTAAAGAGCTACGAAGATAAGAAGAAAGAATTACAATATTGATTTGAAGTAGCAGCTGCCAAGTACTAGCGAGTATCATTTTTATTCTACAATCTTAGTACTGTGCAATTGGAAAAAAAAATTAAAAATAAAAAAAAATAAAAAGATAAAAAAATAAAGATAAAGATAAAAAGAAGATTTTTGGTATATTTAAAAATTTGTGACTGAATAATATATTAAAAAAAAAGGATAATATAACTCTTGGTTTGACAGTTCAGGAGATTTGCTTCATCTTTTGAGTTTCTAGGTTAAATCTTGAAGTCATCTGTCCATCTACCATAATAACATTATGGCTTATCTGTCCTTTTAAGTTTGTAGAGTGTTCTAAGTGTATAAGTTAGCTACACCCTTGTTACAAAAAAAAAAAAAAAAAGAAAAGATATATAATAACATTTCGGTTCTCTGTCCTTTGGGTTTATAGGATATTCAATAGCCCTTTTTTGCTTATCTATCCTTTGGGCTTGTAAGGTGTTCAATAACCCCAATGTGATTTGAGGTGCACGCAAGCTTGTTGAACACCCCCTCAGAAAAAAAAAAAAAAAAAAGCATAATATAAAGGGTTAGTGGCCAAGATTTTTGGTATTGACCCAGTATTAACTTGAGCTTGAAGCTAGTTATGTTCCATAATGTGAATCATGCTTGCATATATAATGAAGCTTTTCAATCTTTTTCAGATAGATTGTAATCTCTCTTTCGAAAAGAAAGCCATGTGGTATATTAACTTTAACATACATAAATATTAAAAATACAGAAACTAAATTACATATCTTTATTATTACAGAGAAGCCTTGTAAGAGTCAAAAAGGTATTTTTTCTTTCCTGCAATGCAATACACTTTACTTTATCAACTATTGTTCAAATTTGACACACACACACACATATATAGGCTTTAATAATCTCCTCTTCACCTTTGACCCACCAAAAGAAGACCTATTGCTCTTTGTTTTTTAAGGCAAAAAAGAAAGGTAACATATCCATCTTTCCAAGTTTCAAGCTGGCAGATAACATCATAGAGAAATTACCCATCTCAATACTTATAAGAAAAAAAAAAAAAAATTAAAATTTAGCAATATGTTAATGAAATTACTTAAATTTTAAATAAACTTTTACCCTTATAAAACCCATAATCGAGCCAATAGCTTCCACTAGGCCGATTCCAACCTTGGCCACCATATATAGGAGACCTTTACTAGCCTTGTCTCACGCGCAAGGCCAATGCCCTCATCGTAGTCGTGTAGCCAATCACCTCTTCGAAGCTACATGAGACCAGATCCAGCTTCACCATAATTGAGGGTAGATCTCAGAAAAAATTTGGTGGGGGAAAGGAAAAAAGGGGAATAGGAGAAGGGAGAAGACGAGAAAAAAAACCCTGAGAGATTGACCTAGCGATCAAGGCGGTTTTTTCCCTTCCTTGAGTTTTCGGATTCAAATCTTGGGACCACCTACCACGATAACAGTTGTGTTTACTTAATTCTTTGGGCTTATAGAGTGTTTAATGGCACCTCGAAGATTAGTTAAGGTGCGAGTAAGCTGGCCTAAACACCTTGGTTAACACACACAAAAAAAAAAAGGGGGGGGGGGGGGAAGAAAAAATATTATACATTGAGTTTTTATAAAAAATTCCCTTTGGAGACACAAATTGGAAAATAAAAAATATCTATCTATTAATTAACTTTAATGCAAAAACTAATGAAATGAGAGTTAGGTCCCATTTTAGAAACCAACGGGTTTATTTTAAATCACGAAATGTTTGAGGGTTTATAAATTACACCTAAATATTTTGTATATTTAGAAGTTACAAAAATTCATTCTCCCAAAGATTTCCGAAGCTAAAATATAGTAAAATCTCTCTATAGTGATACTCTATATAGGAATAAACTGTACATAATCATAAAAAAATATATTCCTAATTTGGAATAGTTATAAATAAGAACAAACTTCATATTGTAATAAGTTATAATTTTTTTAATTCCCGTCTTAAGGAAAGTTGCCTCCACATAGTAATAATTATTTGTATATTGCAAAAAAAAAAATATGTTATGTTACATTAAAGGTTTATGATGAAACAAAATATTTATCTAAAGTTGTTTACGACAATTATTTATGCTTTAAAGGTGTTACCAAATCTTCTAACTTGCGGGTATATAATAATTCGCTAGCATGGACATCTTCTTGTTGAAGCCAAAATATTTCTAGCTTTTCAAGCATCTTTAGAGCTTCATGGCATGAAACTTTTTGCATTTCCGTACTATCATCCTCAGAATTATTTCATTTCTCTTCTTGTCTAATTGCAGCAATGATTTCTTCTTCAGTTAAAACATATACGACTTGTTGCTCATTTGGATGATCGAGGAAGACATTAATATCCATTCGATTAGTGTAGTGAAGTTGTCGAATCTGATCACTCAATTTTACAATGACTTTTCTATTCTCTTCATCCACTTCATTTGTAACTTGCAATTCATCGACATCGGGGGTCCTAATTTTGCAGTGCTTAAACTAATTGATAATTGTCTGTGGCTTCACATTAATTGACCATGCAGCAACTGCATTTACAATTCCATCAAGGATACTTATCTTTTCTGGTTCCAATACATGAACTTCTATCCGTTTCAAAAGCAAGCGATTAAAGCGCTGCCGATAATAACCTTTAAAATTTCTAATAATGCCTGCATCACATGGTTGGATTTTGGAAGTGCTAGCTGGTGGTAGAACAGAACAGTTGTGTGATGAAGTGGGGGGAGATTCTCCTTTTTGCCATATGTAGTACAATTATCCAATATAAGCAAGACATTTCTATCCAAACAGCTATCAAACCACTTAAGCAATTCCATAAAAAACAAAGATGTCATCTATGCATTTGAATTCGCTCGATACTTGCAATTGAGATTATCATGGTTAACATTATTAAAGCATCTTGGATTAAGAAACTTACCGATGACCCAAAGTGGAAGTTTGTCAGAGCCGTCGCCGTTGCAACAAATAACAATTGTAATCCTCTCTTGTTTTGCTTTCGGCCCTCCAACTGCTTTGTTGCAAGAGAGTTATCGGCTTCTATTCGATAAAATAAGCCAGTTTCATGCATATTATAAATGTCCTTCCAAGCCCATTTGTCTAATTCCTCTCTTATTGATGACAAACTAGCTTCAATTTTCTCCATATTAATTGAACCACTTTTCTCAAAATGAGGAAAGGAATGAATAGCATGTCGTTGCTTGAACTTTTCCAACCACCATTTGAAAATCCAAACAAGGTAGCTTGGGGATAGAGTTTCCTTAGAAAAATATCTCCTTTCTCTTTTAACAATTCACCCATTCATATTGACATGCTCTTGATGGCATACAAACCATTCATAGAGGGCAGACTCCATTGCTGGGTACTTTACCATCTTTGAATGTTTTGTGTTTGGGTTCAACAATCCTTCATCTTAAAGAAGGTCAGCTGATCGTTTGAGTGTCTTAGATATTGCTGCTTGTGATACCTTAAGACCATGAGTATCTTCTAACCACTTCACAAGATCTTTCTGCTTCCAACTAGGGTTTGATTCTTTCATTTTGCATAACTCAACACGAACACTTTCGGTCAATTGAGTTCATGTATTAACTTTGGGTGGCATGATTGATTTGCTAGAGGAAGAAGAAAGGTATCACTAGAATTGGTGGAAAATTTTATTAAAAACTTGATTGAATAAGTTGAAACAGAACAACCCTATTTATAGTAGGCTAATCATAATTCTACTAGGATAAGTAAATGAGAAATCCTAATGCTACTACTAAAACAATGAATTGAAATCCTACAAATACTAAAACATGAATTGAAATCCTAGTACTATCAAAACATGAATTTTAAAATAGGAAATCAAGTAATATTAAAAGTAAATAGGAAATCCTAATACTATTAAAACATAAATTATAAAATAAGAAACAAGTAATATTAAAAGTAAATAAGCAATCCTAATACTACTAAAACAATTAATTGAAGTCCTAATACATACTACTAAAACATGAATTATAAAATAAGAAATCAAAATAGTTTTTTGCAACTACACATTTATTAAGTTATAACCTACTTATAGTAATAAATTAGTTTGATCCCAACATTATGACTATAGAGAGGTTTTATAGATGACCTATTCAAAACTACATAATTACTTTTATTTCTCATTCTACCATAAATTTTAGATGTTAAAATCAATAATAAGAGGGGAATATTAACTAATAATAGTGTAAATTTTAACGACTCACTAATGATTAATCAATGACAGGGGGATTCTCTTATTTAAGAAACTCTGATGAATTTTTGTTATTATATCATATCTCATGGGATTAATTCATTAACTGATCATTTCGTAATTACGATCGTATGTGCCTCGAATTAATTAAGGGCTGATTGTGATTGTTTTCGATCCCTCCAACTCCATTAATTAACAAAATCACATTATTGAAGAGGTCCAGGAATTTAGCTCATTAACTAGTAGGGCCTTCTTCAAATCTATACCACAACATAAACAGAGTGGGGGATGGGGGATCCCTCCTCTGAAAGCCACTTAATGTTGTACAAGAGAATTTTCACATAATTTAATTCTCCACATTGCATGCAGGGGTGAGCACAGGTAGCAGGTAGAATCAGAACCTACGGATAGAATCAAAACTGGAACCTACCTAGAACCGACACTGTGCGGGCAGGTTTTGGTTCCATTTTTTTGGAACCGACATTATGCAGTTCCGGTTCTGATTCCTATATGTGGAGGAACCAAAACTGGAACCAAAATCGACACCTGAAAAAAAGAACCTGTAGCAGGTACCCGGCTTGGAACCTACTTGGAACCTGCAACAGGTACCCTATTTTCGAACCCGAGTCGAAATAAAATACTTGTTAAAAATGGGGGGTCCATTGTAATTTTACATATAAAAAAACTTTAAATGGAAAAAGTTAAATTTTTACAATAACCTAATTAAATAAATTTACAATTATACCTATTACATATAAACTACACCATATAAAAAACTTTAATATATTATAATATATTAATATTAAAGTTTTGATTAATTAAGTGTATAATTGGAATTATGACCAATTAAAAATGTTTTAATGTTATTAAAAGAATTATTTTTGAATAAAATAGTATATTTGATTGAATAATAATACAATACTTAGTTATTTACTTCAATTATCAAGCTCTAAGTGTATCATTACATATTTATATTATAGTTCAATTATCATTAATTAATTATAAGTTTATAACATTACATTAGTAATTTAGTATATTGCTTAATTAAATAATTAGAAATTTAATTAATTATAACATTACATTATAGAATTATAGTATAATTACTTAATTAATTATAACATTACATTATAAACAAATGAATATTTAGTTAATTATAATATTTCATTATAAACATTAGTACAATACTTAATTAAATGATTAGAAATTTAATTAATTACAATAGTACATTAAAGATTTATAGTATGATTACTTAATTTATTATAACATTACATTATAGTATCATCACATAATTAATTATAATATTACATAATTAAATGATTACTTAATTAATTATGATATTATATTGTAAACATTAGTAATTTACTACATTAGCACAATACTTAATTAAATAATTAGAAAATTAATTAATTATAATATTACATTATAAATTTATAGTATAATTACGTAATTAATTATAACATTACGTTATAAACAAATAATTATTTTAAGGTTTAGGGTTTAGAGTTATAACATTCCATTATAAACATTAGTACAATACTTAATTAAATGATTAGAAATTTAATTAATTATAATATTACATTAAAGACTCATAATATGATCACGTAATTGATTATAACATTATATAATTAAATGATTACTTAATTAATTATGACATTATATTATAAATATTAGTAATTTTCACAATACTTAATTAAATGATTAAAAATTTAATTAATTAAAACATTACATTATAATTAAATAATTACTTAATTAATTATAACATTATATTATATTATAATCACTTAATTAATTATAACATTACATAGTTAAATGATTATTTAATTAATTATAAATTTATAACATTACATTATAAACATTAGTAATTTATTACATTAGTAAATTATTTAATTAAATGATTAAAAATTTAATTAATTATAACATTACATTATAGATTTATAGTATGATTACTTAATTAATTATAATATTTTATTATAAACATTAGTACAATACTTAATTAAATGATTAGAAATTTAATTAATTGTAATATTAAATTATAGATTTATAGTATGATTGTTTAATTAATTATTTGTGTTTTGGTTTTGTTTGAGGAATTTGATATGAATTGTGATGAATTGATTGAATTCAAATGTTGTATATAGATTAGAGGATTTATGAGCCACATTTGACACAAATGAATGAGTAATCAAAATTTGTTTTAAAGTATTTTTGTCATTTTTTAAACTAATAACGGGATAATTGATTTTTTATAGGGTACCGGGGAAAGGAATCGGAAGTCCGGAACCTAAAATTTAGGTTTCAGTTTCTTAAATTTAAGAACCTATACCGTGCGATTCCGGTTTCAATTCATTTTTTTTTGGAAACTTACGCTATACGGTTCCAGTTCCCTTGAAAAATGTAGGGTATTTGGAACCGATGACCCCTTTGCATGATAGTAACCTATAAAATTTTACAATCATTTTTTTAATATATATATTTATCTACCAAATAATAGAAAACTATTTTTTTAAACATTTATATTTATAAATTAAATTTTAAAAATTTCTAATTTATAAACTCTACTAAAGAAATCGTATAAATGAACCCTAGGATTACCAGTTTGTAGTAGTAGTAGGTACTAGGTACCATTGAATTTCCACCATAAAATTTGGGGAACGCACTCAATTGTGCAAAGGGATTTTGTCAACCTCAGTAATGAGAACCATGGCGAAGTTTTCGGTACAAAACTTCTTCAGCTCATAATGTTTCGGAAAAAATGTTTGAATTTTACAAGGAAAAGTTGAAAATTATTATCAAAATGTAACTCTATTTTTTTTTTCTCTCTTATATATCTTTATCATGAATGTGATTAGTAGTTATTAATTTAAAATTTTCAGGTATACAACCTTCTTTCACAACCTCTAACGTTGTAACTTGTCATTAGTTAACTCGCAAATGGGTAGATGAAACCCATTTTGTGAGCTGAAGAGTGACGGGTTGCTATGTCGAGGGTTGTGAGATTGGGTTATGGACCTAACATTACTGTAAAATATTTATAATAATAATTAGAGTCATACTAGGTCTACAATCTAATCTCATAACCTTCAACGTAATAGTTCGTCATTGGTCAATTCGCAAAACAAGTCTCACTTACTTGTATAGTCCTGATTACCTATTTACTAGCTAAATAATGACAAACTACTATATCGGAAAATGTGATAGAAAATTGTGCGAAAAGGTTGTGGAGTAGCATTATTGAAAAATAATACATCAATGGGTGGTAAGAGTAATGTGGTATTATGATCGGTAGTTATTCAATGACGTCAACATACAACCAACAGTAAACTCTCGAATAGTACATTAGTGGTATGATAGAATAATAGATGGATCAATGAACTCGGACATGCATGATTTTATCCTTTAATGAACTCCACTGAATCAAGTCTTATAGGAGCCAAAGAAGGATTTTTCACAATCGTAGTAAATTCATCATCACTACTGTCCAAATCAACAAATTTCTTCAAGAACGCCACCGTAATTCCACCAACACATCTCCTCATTGGATCCCTTGAACACTTTCCATTTGTGCACAAACACTTTGAAATTACCCTGGAACCAAAATCCGCCGGACGATCATCTAACATGTCCATGTGGCCGTAATCTGTAGCAACAAAATGAGATCGAGTAGATTTACATCTGTTATAAAACTCCTCGTGGTTGGCTCCTTCCGGAGCGCAGGACGCCACACACTTTGTTACGCCACCCAGTCCGGTTCCAATCACTGTGACGGGCATCGAGGAAGACAAGAAGTTGAACGAGTCATAGGAGAGGAGAGGTGGATTGAGTGCAGTGCATTTTGATGTCCCGGCGACGGGGTCTATGCCGATTATTGCTGAAAACTGAGGGACTACTTGGGGGGTTTTGGCGTATCCGAGTGCGAGACCAAATGCTGTTTGTCCTCCTCGACTGTGGCCTGAAAGAACAAGATTGTCTAGGTTGGGTTCAACATTCTCCGGAAGAACTGATTGGAGCCCTGAGGATAGCCAATTTGCAATCTGTGCAGCATAGTCAACTTCGGTGTTTCCAGACGGTGGCAAGAAGCTGTATAACTGGAAATAATCCAAATAATCTATATCAAATCTTAAAAACTGTAACATTTACTACACCGACGCGGTCCGGCGTCAGCCCAAGTGGAGACAGGCTTTCCGGCGCTACTAGCGCCAGATTTTATCTGTCCAAACTCTCGACGTCATAGATGACATCAGCATATGGATAGTTACTGTAATTCCTCGACGCAAATTTACTGCGTCGGAGGAATACCGTTACCTTGACGCCAGCGACGTTAGATATTGAATTTATATGCTGATGCTACAAACATCGGGACCTAGCTTTGGTGTATTGAACCTTTTTGATAGGGAATATATATATATATATGGAAATTCATAATGAACAATTAGTTACCTGAGGAGCAACAACTATGAATCCATGGGAAGCAATGTGTTGAAAGAGGTCAGAATAGCTTTTATTGCCAAGGGAGGTACCAGGAAAGAACAATATAACATCATAAGTTCCTGGTTCCGACGGACAAACAATAAACAATTGTTTAGGAGGTGAATTATTTGATGGCTCAATTGTGGTGGTTGTTGGAGTATAACTTCCTTTCACAAAGACCGGAAGTGTTGTTGCTTCTGTTATTGAAACTGGTTTAGCTTCCACCACCGCCATTATTCTCTATGATCGATCTGATCTTTGTGGTGTTTGTCTCAGAGAGCAGGAACAAATTTATAATTAAACGTATTTCTTGAGGGACTTCGGGGACTATAACATGTTGCTAGTGTACGTGTGGTGGAGCTATCTTAATAATAATGTGTTGCATGTGAGAAAAATGGAGCTGAAATAATTACGCTGGCCATAACTTGGAGGTATTCATTTAAATCATTGCAGAAATACATCTCTGGTTGAATGTATCTCAATTCAGAATCATCAGTTATGGTTACTTTCTTTGGTATCTGTCTCTTTCGTGCAACTAATAGTGATGAAAACGTGCCTCCTTTCTATGTTCTGTAGTTTTCTCTTCTTTGAAAAACTGTTTCTACAAACTTGTATCAAACCATCTGCAAATCAATAAAAACGGGTCCTTAGAGTTTCCATACCAATAATTTCATAAAAATAAATTATCTGGGCTCACATGATGGGATGATCATCATGCGTCCAACTACTATCAAATAAAATCATTAAAGTTTTGAAGCAATTAATCCTCGCCTACTTTTTTAAAGTTTGGTTGATGAGCAAACTTTTTTCAAGAGGGGAACTTTAGTATCACTTATTCACTCGTAATGTTTCGAAAAAGATGTTTAAATAATGATAATAAAGCTGAAAATGATCTCATGTAACTCTCCGCCTTTAGGTATTTTGTCTGCTATTTATGATTAAATAATGAAAAAATAAATAAATAATTAATTGATATATATATAAAGGTTTACTAGTTATGGCTTCTTTGCTATACTGTAGCATGACAAAATTTACTTGTTTGAAAAACATTTTAATTTTCTCCCAGTATGCTTACTGGGACCAATCACAGAAATTATCAAACGTTTTTTTCATCTTAATGAGTAAAGACAAATTAGCTAATAACTAGGGTTGGCAAAAAAATCCATGAAGCTATACAAAACCGTGAAGCCGTACGATATAGTACAATAATGGATTTTTAGTAAAAAAAAAATAATTCGTTTGGTTTTCTTTTTAAGAATGGCACGATACGATTTTTGGGTTTTTTTTTTGGTTATTCGAACTTAATCGTACCATACTAAACCCTTTTTTTTTTAAATTTTTTTAAATAGCCTTGAAATTGCCAAAATGAAAACCCTATAGAATATATATATTAAAAAAAAAACCTTTAAATATTAAAAAACCCTCAATCAAAAACCAATAAAATCACAAAAAGTGTCTCTCAAGTTTCCTTCCAACTTCGAGCTTAACGCACTGCGATTATTGTGAGACTTGGACAGTAGTGAATCAACGTGTGTGGCTCTGTAGAGGTTGCGCTGTTATCAAACTGTCTTTTATTCCTTCTCCCATCCATCTCCCACCCGCAACTACCGAAATTCAAATTCTTGTCCTATTTGCCTGCGCATGCCATTGAAAGTAACTTGAATATTGATACAAGATTTTGCTCTTGGAATTAAGTTTGAATTCATCACATATGGAAATTTGATAGGCATACATGTTGGAGTTGTCGATTACTTCATTATTAATAGGCCACGTAGACAAATTTGGATTTCTTTACGTTATTAATTTTTTATTCGGTTTGAGTTTAGGAATAGAAATCCTTGTAATACTAGGTTTTAATCTTTTAAACATAATATATAAACACGTTTTTCTCTTGTAATGAGCGATAGCAATCATAGAACACATTCATTTATTGTAATCGAGAGAGGTGAGGTAATATTACAATAATATTGATTCTGTTAGACATATTCTATTAATTAGATGAACCAAAGTAAAATCACATGTACTGCTTCTTTCTTTTACTGTTTGTAGTTTGTGTGTTTGTTATTTTAGTTTCGCACACGCGAAAAGCTGTGCCAACAACCCACCGGTGTATTATCATCGGGACCATATACCCCGACGCTGGTGTAATTATAAAGTCCTTTGCACTACCGAGTGATTATACCATCCTTGATAAATAACTATAATTATTGTTTACACTGTTTAGTTTTAACCATATATGGATTATGGACAGACTACAAGCAGCTAAGAAGAGAGCAATATCAATATTTAAAAAGGTGGGAAAGGCCCGGCCCAATCGGTCCTGGGACCGATCCTTTGGCCTTTGGGTGGACAATTTTTTTTTGTTGTAAAATGTCATTTCAATTCTTATATTTATTGCTAATTTTTATTAAATAAGGGGTTTTGGATATTTTATAGGGATTAAAAGGAAATCGGGGAGGAGGGACCAGCCCTGGGCTTGGGCCTGGGCCTAGGACCAGTTCCATGCCCGGGCCTTGGAATCAGTGGTGGCCGGAACCTGCCGTAATGACACATTATCTGTTGGATCTGGCTGGTAGTGCGTCGATCTGGCCTTTTCTGGCTAGATCAGGCCACATATGGCCATTGAAGATGGCCATATCTTGGTCGTCGTTTGGCCGTCATTGTCGTTGATCTAGTCATCAACGGCTAGATCTGTGGCCGTAGATTTGGCAATTTCTAGCTAGATCCACGATGGATCTAACCAGAAAAGGGCAGATCAGTGCACTATTGACCAAATCCAACCGGTAGTGCGTTATTACGACAGATTCTGACCACCTTCTGGCGTTGGTGGCTAGCTACTGGCAATACGTGGGTGGATGGGGGTGTTTTTGTTCATTTATAAACTTTTACTGTTAGGGATGTTTAGTTAAATTAACAAACCTAGGGGTTAAAAATATCTAAATATTTTAAAAAATGCTATTAAAAAATATACAAAAAACTTCTTAAATACTACTTAACTGAACTTTTTCTAAAATATTATTCTAAAAAATGTCAAAATAGTGAACCAAACCCACGATAAGAATTGGCTTTCTCGACTGCCGGGCCTGCCTCGTTAGGGTCTATCTTTCTAGTGGTGATAGTGATACTTACAATGATATATAATTTGGTTGAAGCTCCGAGGTGGCTACTGCTCTGAAGGCGGAAGGTTTAGTTGCTAGGTGTTATACCTGAAAAAGTAGGGCTGACGCAAGACCCAGTCAGCATAAAAAGTCAGAACTTAGGTAGGCCCACAGCCAGTCAGAGGCAGTCACGTCATACAATAACAGGGGCGGCATGCTTATGTCAGGGCAGTGGGTGCGTGTCAGACCAGCCAGGAGCTATAGCGATTCTACGTGTCCAATCCCTGCACCAAATCGCGTAAATCACTCCAGAAGGTGGCAATGGGACATAAAGAAGGATTTGCACAGATAATCCTACTAACTCACAGATTTAGTAATGATAACCTTAATCCATCTTACTATAAATTGAGAGCTCCTCTCTCATTTAAAGGATTAGCTAATCTCTCAAAAGAAAAATAGCAATCTCTCTCTTGTATAATCATTTGTAAATCAGCTCGCTGAATGCGACCTGATCTTTACTATTAATACAAAATCAGTGGACGTAGGATTTGCTTCCTTAGCATCTGAACCACTTTAAACGCTGTTCCCTATTGTTTTTACTCATTCTTTCACCCGTGTGTGTCTTCTAGGCTAGCTCAGCATTTCACATGTGTATTTGGTTAGTGTCAAAATAATGCATCAACAGTTTGACGCTAGAGGGAGGCGCCTGATTTAGTATTCGTCCTTCATCAGGAGAATATCTAACTTACCGGTCCTACAACAGCAAATAGCTTGCTGACTTAAACCTGAGCAAACCAATCAGGGCGCTGAGGAGATAAACTAAGTGCAGGAGGACACCTGTCTTGGGGTACCTTTGGTTCCGCAAAATATCACTAGGGATGTCCCGTCAAGTTTACAACTTGACACTGCCATCGTGAGCTACCTGGAGAGGTTCAACAATACTCTCCAAACAGTCAAACAAAGGTTGGACCGTTTGGACCAGGGCGTGCCACTCGAATCAGTCGGAGCGGTGCAATTGCCAAAAACGCCTGCAGGTCATGCGAAAGTGCGGCAAAGGGCGATAGCCCGTGCCGCGAGCACTGCAGCATGCCAAAGGAAGGGTAAGCAAGTGGAGAAAAATGGGCCTAAAGGCTCCAAAGGGCCGGTGAACACCGACCACGTCTAGAATAGAATACCCGTGGTGTTAAGACTCGGTGAAAAGTCATAGCCCGAGCCATCCCATGCCGCGTCGCATGAAAATCTTCATAAAAGTGCTGGGAGGGGTGATTCTCATCACCGTCATAAAAGCAATCCTGATCATAGTCGTGCGAGAGGTTCCCACACTCCGCGGGGCGGTTCATACCACTGCGAAGGTCGTGAAAATTCCTCGCACCATTCATCGCCATCAGAAGGCTCAAGCCAGCATATGTCAAGAGCAGCCGAAACTGCTGGTCGAGGTGAAGTGGAATCCGACCTCCGGACTTTCCTCAATCACAATTGCGAGGGTCGAACTCACATGGGTGAAAGCAATCCCCAAATAGCTCCGCTGCCTCAGATTGAGGAGCTATAGTAAGCTTTAGATCAGCTGAAAGCTCAACAAAATGAGCAAGGGCAGGTCGCAGTAGCGTCTCCCTTTTCTTTGGCAGTATTAGCCACACCACTCCCATCAAGATTTAGAATGCCCGATATGCTAGCGTTCGATGGAAATTCTAATCCGCAAGATCACTTGTATGAATTCAACGATCTGATGGAGCTTCACCAGGTTTCAGATTTGGCAAAATGCCGTTGTTTGGCAGTTACTCTAACCTCTATGCCAAACGATGGTTCAGGTCGCTCCCAGCAGGATCGATCAGCCGTGGCCTCAAATGAGCGCGACATTCCTGAGGCATTTCCAAACGAATCGAAAGTTCTCGATGCCTTTGAGCTACCTCAGCAATATAAGGCAAGAGAGGGATGAATCCCTCCAATCATACATCGATAGATTCCACAGAGAACTTAATAAGGTAGCTCACACTCCCGAAGAGTCTATTCGGACTCTCATCATAACGGCAGTTCGCCTACAAACCGACCTATGGACCTACAAACCGACCTATGGAAATAGTTACAGGCTGAGGATGATGTTTCCCTCACCTGCTTTTATAACCTTGCGGAGAAGTACCTCCGTATTGAAAGTTCTGTGGCGGCGCTCCACCGCCGCGACCCCGGCGCTAAAGGAAGTGCGCCTGGTCAAGGGGAAAGTAGGAGAGTTGATCGCAGATGGGCTACTAATGATCAACGAAAAGGAAAGAAACCGCGCTACGAGCCCAAAAAGTCTTATGCTCTAGTTCCTAGTCGCAATCGCGATAGAAATCAGTGTAC